TGAAAACTCTGTCTCCGACTTATCCTTTCCGTTGACGCCGACAGACCCGACACCGAGACCGAGAAACCTGTCTGCAGACGAAGAGTCCACTTCATTACGTGACAGACTGGATGCTGCCGAACGTACTGACTCTCACAATTCGTCCTTTTGTAATCCCTCGGTTGGCGCCTCTGTTGCAGCCTCTACTCTTTATTCAATGCGCCGCGAAAACGATGCTATAAAAAACGAACTATCCAAAACAAAAGCAGAAGTCGCTCGTTGGGAGGAGAGGTATAAAACCCTCGAGAAGACCCTCAAAGAAACGAGAGACCTTTTGAAGGTCAGAGACAAGGAGATCCAGGTGCTTAAGGAGCGCGAAAGGCACTCACCCGAGCATCATTTCCGTTCCACTCACTTCGATCGTCGACGAAGCTGTGATCCCGCACATCAGCGGTCAGACTCATCTCAGTCTCGGCAGATCCGACTGAGCGCTGACTGGTCAGAGATCCATGACGATACCTTATCGCAGGCCAACGGCAATCATCGCCGCAATGGTAGCGACCCTTACCCAGACAACATGTCTACCGTGTCCGAGGAAGAGCGAGCCCAGTCTCGCAGCTTAGAAACCTTCTTGAACAAGATTGATTTGTGGTCTGGGGCACAGGTCATACAAGCTGTACAAGATCTCAACTCTGAAATCCTTCAGTTTGCAGCATCTGCCACAGAACTTTGCACGTTCTCGAAGCAGCGCCCTAACTCTGCAAAGGTTACGCAAGCTTCCTCCGAAGTTGCCACGAGGTTGGGTGCTGCCCTGAGTCGCTTATTGGCAACTCGGGATCACTCCCAAGATCCTATGCTTGTTCAACTAGCTCTTCAGGGTTGCATCTCGTACTGCATATCTAGAGCACTATCGTCATTTTGCATCGGTTACCAGTCCAAGGCCAACATCACCCTGACCCAGATCTATACCCACATGTTCCACTCAGGTGGGTTCCTAAAACATTTCTTTGCCCGCGATTTGTTCATATCATCTCAGAACCTCAGCCAACCTCGTCACGATGGAGAGCGCTGACTCATAAACACATCCATGAGCTCCACCCCGAACTTAATGAATACGCAATCAATGAGATGACGGAAACGATCTTCCGTTGGTCGCTAGACATTTTTCTCATCTCTGGTAGTACCAATCCCCAGCCCAATCCGGCTTCGCGCGAGAACTTCCGTGCATGCTTCGGGGCCCAAGTCAAACGGATCTCGAAGGCCGCTTGCAGGCTAGCGCAAGTGACGAGGGAGGAGATTATGTCGGCGAACTTCGAGGTTATCGCTGCGGATAGTGGCCAGCTGTTTGACGGGCAGGAGATGATGGATGCGTTTGAAGACTATGGATCGTCGGATGGCGTTGTTCTGTGTACAACGGAGCTAGGCTTACGTTGCTCGACAAGAAAAGCTATGAGCGACGCGCCAGCTTCGGAAGAAAGCATAGATCGGCGTATACTGTTGCGACCCAAGGTGGTTCTTGAATCTGTTGTAGAAGTTATCGACCCGCGATGATGTCTCTTTTCTTGTTAACAATTTCTGCTGCATCTATGTACTTTACATAATCCCCTCATCCATTCATACCACCCATTGCTGTTGTACCTTCGTTGTACTTATATGTACTTACTTTCATGGACGTTACTATGGTACTTATGTCGTATTAGTAGATCACTTGGATATTGTTTATCCGTATTTGATCCTAAAGGTGTTACTCAACAAGTGCAAACTGTGACACCTCGAAAATTACTTCAAATCTAATGCATCGGCCAGGGGGTCAGAGACGGCATGGCATCAGCCTGCCCAAGTCCTTACTCGAACAGATCAATACCACAGGTGAGCTCATACAGAATTCGTCTCTGAGCCAGTCGTGACGATGTATGCAGAGCAGAGCTCTCATCGACACAAAAGTGGTCGTTCCCATGCATCACGCAAGGATGCGCGAAAGCAAGAGCGAACGGATCGTAAAAAGAGAAAGGCGGATCACTTCATACATAGCCCTTACTCAGCCAAACGGAAGACGGAAGAAGAACACGTCAATTCACCGCAGAGAAAGCGCATGAAGACGTCACAAGAGCCAGTTTCTCGACCACCTGCCTCAACGTCTCATAATGCGGCTGCCACCAAGGTACTACTGCGTCCTAGGCCTGAGGAACCGCATACCACCACCGAGTCTGTGCCGAAGCAAAAATTCAAAACCACTGCGCTAGAGAGACTCGTAAATAAATCGGTTGCTAAATCCCACAAAGTTGCATCTACGGGTCCTCGAAGTCGCGAAGAAGAGGAAGAAGATGCGTATATCGCGTACCTTGAATCAAAACTGGGGTATGCTGGAGGTGATTCACGTCGTAAGGATGATGACATGGATGGACTAGGAGGTATGTTTCATTGCATCTTTTACCAGTGAATGTGTCTCACAAATTTTCTGTAGATCTATTTGACTTTACGGAGAAAATCATGACTGAGATGCCAGTAAGTCTACTTTGCAGCTATGTGTTGTGTGGTGTTTGAGTCCACGCAGGACTCAGATCTGGATGACGAAGTGGAGGATGAGGATCAATCAACATCTGCGGAAGACCAAAGTGACGGATCTTGGGAAGATGAGGAGTGGGGTGGCCTTGACGAGCTCAGCAAGAACGACGGAACTGAAGCTGGGGAAACCGACGATTCAGTGGACGATGATGACCATGAGGTGACAGAGACGAAAGAAGGCGAGCCTTCCGACATTCAACCTAAGGTTACTGGTCAGTTTTCCTACATGTGTAATTTTTGGGCTGGATTCCACCCTGCCTCACAGGACGCTATATCCCGCCGGGATTGAGGAAACAGGCTAATAGCGATCTAAATGAAACAGAGGAACAACTCAAACTCACTCGCCAGCTGAAAGGTCTGATAAACAGGTAACTTCTTATTGTATTGTCGTGGTCATCCTGATTTATCTCGCCTTAGAATGTCTGAACAAAACATTGCAACCATCCTAGATAGCATAGAAGACGTGTATCGCAATCACCGCCGGCATGGTTTGTGCTTATTTTATCTGCACTGAACGTGGCACATATTTTTCCCCTCAGATGTCACCTCAACCCTCACGAACCTCATCATTGATGGCATATCATCCCACTCTACTCTTCTGGACTCGTATGTGGTTCTCCACGCCGCGTTTATATCTAGCCTACATAAATTGATCGGCACTGCGTTTGGTATGTGTCTTGTGAAATGACCTTCGACCACCTTAGCTGATGCACGTCATACACTCAGCGGCATATTTTGTTCAGAATACAGTGTCCTCGTATGAACAACACCTCACTTCGGTGGAGGAAAAGTTAGCCGAGTCAACGGAAATCTCTGAAGACCTAGGAAAAGAGTGCTCCAACCTCATCGTGCTTTTGTCAGAGCTGTACAATTTTCAAGTCATTTCGTGCATTCTCGTCTATGATCTCATTCGCGGCCTTTTGGATAAAGACCTATCTGAGTTCCGGGTAGAACTCCTGCTGAAACTTCTTCGAAGTAAATCCGATAGTATCTATCCTCATTGCATCTTAACCCTGTGCTAGGTTCCGGCCAACAGCTACGACAGGATGATCCTATGGCATTGAAGGACATCATAAATTTAGCACAGTCTCGAGTCACCGGACAAGCCGATGCCATGAGGTACCACATCTCATTATCTTCATTACCGTCTTCTCACTGCGAAACACAGTTCACGCACGCGGTTCATGATCGAGACCCTAAATAACCTGAAGAACAATAAAACCAAGAAGACAGCTGCAACACAGCATCAGGGGGGCGATGCTGTCGAGCGGATGAAGAAGTTCCTCTCAGGCTTGGGAAAAAAGAAGCACAGTAGGTCGTTCCTCCGTTGGGTGATTTAGGATGACGCTGAGGCGGATGCAGTTCTCGCTCACGAGCCGTTACGCGTAACATTGGAGGATCTCCATTCGGCAGAAAGCAAAGGAAAGTGGTGGCTCATTGGCGCTGCTTGGGCCGGAGATCCTCTGGCCGATCAGTCACGCGAAGTTCCCCAGCATGGTGGGGAAACGGAGACAGGTGACGTCAGCACTGCCGCGCTTCTAAAGCTTGCGAGGAAGCAGGGCATGAATACAGATATTCGTCGAAGTATTTTTGTGGTGCTCATGAGCAGTGATGTAGGTATTGACGCCGTATCCCTGCTATCAAATCTCATTTCCTGTTTGCAGGACTATCTGGACGCTTGCGAACGACTCGCGCAACTCGGCCTCACAGAAGTGCAGCAACGCGAGATCATCAGAGTAAACCTGCATTGCTGTGGAAATGTACGGGATTCTATAGGATTTTGCATCGCCATCATTCGCTGACCCAATTTTGCAGGAAGAATCTTATAACCCGTATTACACACTTGTCTGTCAGCACCTGTCTCAGCGTTCGCATTCGTACAAGATTACATTGCAGTTCTGTCTATGGGACTTTCTTCGGGACTTGGGCGAAAGTGGCGTTGGTGGGGCAGAGGTAATCAAGAGCCTGAAAGATAACGATGTAGGGTTTGATGTTAAATCCATGTCGCCTTCGCGAATGAAGAACGTCTCCAAAGCATACGCATGGTGGATAGCCAAAGATTGTTGTACGTTGACGATCTTCAAGGTGAGCCTGAGCACAGTTGACGCAAGGAGTTGCTGAAACGAGGATCTTACAGCCTGTAGACTTCACGATGCTCAAGCCACAGACACGCAATTTTTTGAAAGAGTTGTTCATACAACTGTTTATCGCTAGCCAGGTCTCATCACCGATGCTCAGCAACGACTCCAAAGACTATCCTTCCATGAGGAACCGTGGATCACTCGAAGAGATCTTCTTGAAGGCATCCAGGATCGAAAACCTGGGCCTTGGATTGGTATTCTTCATGTCTAATACATTCAAAGGAGAGGATGGGTTCTTAACTTGGGCTAGTTCAGTGGCAAAAGAGACGTTACAGACTGGGATGGACCATATCCCCAAAATCTAACAATGCTTAACTACGCAGATTTGGTGAATGCCACACTAGAACATGCACTCCCGGTGCTCCCGCCGAATGAAATAGTTGGATGTTCTATACTAGAACTTTTGGGAAATATCAACATCTAGTTTCGTTATGAAATGAGCGCCACATACTGATACTGCAGGCCGGTTTCTTCGGTAATGAACTTCGATTTTAACTCGAAATCGGTAAAATTACAAGCTGGGGCGATTGAAGGGCTCAGTTTTACAGTCAAGTGGCACGATGCATACGCACAGGTAATTAGAAAATGCCCGCCTGGATTTAAGAGCTTCGCGATACGTATCGGATAACCTTCTACTGGGGTCCTTCCATTCTTGTCCTTCTCCATCAGGGCGATGGCATCGTATGTGCCTTTATCAAGGATAAGATCCCAAGCTTCATTCTGGTCAGCTTTCTGATCGTCTGCGAGCAGTGGTGGGTCCTCGTGCAGGAAATCGCACACTCTAAACGTAACTGCCGTAAGATTTCGAGAGTGCGCCACCGATTGAGCGAGCTGGACGGCTCCTTCACTATAATCAATTCCCAGGAGTCGATGCGCTGGATAGCAAGCTTTTCCACGTCCCTCCGCAAGCGCGAATAATAGTGCACCGTTCCCACTTCCAACTTCCAGGACTGATATATCAGAGCGTGAAGGGACATGTTGATTAACCCATTTGACCATTTCATTCATCGCCTTTTTGCCGAACCTAGGCGGCAGAAGTATAGATGCAATGGAAGTTATGTGAATACGCACCATATTTCACCCTCATCACCATTTTCACCGAAGTTTTCCAATTCTTCTTCGTAAACGTTATCCCAACTGATTATCGATGAGCGATGGGACCCACGAGTTTGCAGAGGTTGAACACGCCTACTGTTCTTTCGTACCGAGCTTTGAAGGCTCGAGCTCTGATGTGTCCATGACGTTTTTAGGAGTGATCTTGGAACTGAAGTAAGTTGTTAACCAATCGTTGACAATCGTTACAGAATGAAAGGCGCTGCTTAGTAAGCCGGTCAGGTGGTTGTCTCGATGCTTGATAAATATGTGAAGGAATTCTAAAAAGCAGAATCCGACGGCAGGTAGTATAGCGGGCCAGGATCATTTAAAGGAGTGAGTGATGATATTCATTATGATGGATATATAGAGATAGAAATACAGAGTAGACTTGAAATATCTGAGCAATTCTCCCGGTTCAAGAGCTTGGCAATGACTTACCGGTATAGTGAGTAACCAACGTAAGAGAATTAAAAGTTATCTCGACTTTCCATCTGTCTTGTCTAACAGGTCTTTGGCTTCGTTGATTTTACTCGCCAAGTATGGAGAGCCTCCACGGTCAGGGTGATTTGCGAGCATAATGTGACGGTGGGCATCTTTCAACTTGTTTCGTAGTGTTACGCCGTCCCTGTGAAAGATATTGCCATCAGACACCAGGTGATAGAGCGTGCTGAAAAGTGCAAACTTTAGCCCAAGAATTGCAATAGCCTCCTTGCGGTCCATTTTCGCTTTAAAACCACCCTTAACCCACTGGTCTGCTGCCCGCTTTCCAATAATGCCATTGCGTACAAGATGTCGACCAACGAGAGCAGCTGTGATAGCTCCAACACCGACAATTACAGGAGTTGCCATGAGATGAAAAGAAGAGAGCAAGGCGTGGCTGTGCTAAATTTGGTCACTGTCGCCTCACGGTTTTGTTGAATTTGACTCTCACACTGCCTCCAGGCTTCAATTGCTTACGCGCAAATTCCGCTCAATGTTGTTGTTTGAACTTTGCACCTACAAGTTGGATACAATTGAAAGACGCTCAGTGAATGGGTTTGGACCTAGTCACTTTGGAGCCTGGGATACTGGACACACAAAGTACCCACTATTTATGCTTTGTTCTTCAAGCACCTGCACAGCCTATGCGTGGTTCCTCGTCCCCCTTTCACTGCTAACTTGCTGTAAAACGCCGTTACCATTCATTCACAGTAGACGCTCGTCCAGCAATAAATAGCTGTGGCCTTTTATCACGTTCCTACATCCTCACTTTCAGCGCATTGACATCGTGCGCTTTCTCCCTCTCAGGACATCCATGACTCACACATTCTTCACTCTGCAACAGAACGTTTATAAGGCCGATCATGAGCCCATAACCGTTGAAGACGTCGATGAGAACAGTGTTTCTTCTCTGGCCTTGCAGCGCATTATCAACTCAGCTCCAGGCGCCTCCGTTGGTGTGGCAGCTGCATATCGCCCAGACTGTTCTCTTTCCTCTTTAGCATTTGCAACGCTCACCAGGGTGCTCGTCATCCACTTCTTTGCTGCGAATAAACAAAATCCGCAGCAGCAGCAGCAGCAGAAGAAGAAGAAGAAAGCCCAGGAACCACAGCCTCCCGTTTCTCGAGGACGCATCCTCATACAAGACCGAATTCTGTGTAACATTGGCATTAAATTATATGGGTACAGGATAGACAGAATTGCACTTGCTCTCTTCCGAGACTTCTCGCTTCGTATCAATGGTGCAGTTGACATCCTGTCGGTGTCTACCAGTGATCGGCGCTCCCTCCAGGCAATTATGAATGCCTTGGGTGGCGAGGTTTTACTTCAGAAGGACCACGTGAAAACCCTGTTTGCCCACAGAGAAGGAGAAGGAGCAGCCAAGGATGTGGCGCTCCAGGCTTGGGCAGCACATCGCGCTGCCACACTTGATGACATGGCGCTTAGATTTGCCGCCATACATCGAATCGACACAGACACGATGCTGGAGATGGTATGTAATCTTCGTCATGTCATAGACATCTCCTTCTAATCCATGACGTAGCATCTGAGCGCCCTGGCCAAAATTTCTCGTGACGCTGAAATTTTGGAGTCTTTGAAGCCAACGAAAGTCGTCAACAATGTCAAAGCAGATTTCAGCGCCAAGAAGGGCGATGTCAACCTCGAGTGCACTCGCTTCAGCACCCGTATCATGAGGTCTAAAACTCAAGTATGCAAATTCATGAGATGCCATGCTACCAACTTTAAACGTTCGCATTTACAGGTCATCCACATTGAAACGCTGAATGGAGATAAGCGATCAACGATCACTGGTCGCGCAGGGCGAATAAATGGAAAACAGGCTCATATTAACGTCCAAGGTGTTGCAAATCCTTCGGGCAAGGTCCTCTCCGTGACCACTTTTGGGAAAGAAGACTTGACGGCTGCTGAATCAAACAGAGAAGATGTAGTGCTAAAGGCGCTTCAAGGCACCATCACATTGACCGATCATCCATTCTTCTGTAGCATCTGGGCGCCATCATTAAGCATCTTATGGCCGCCCTTGAATGCTTCCACCGCATCATTCGTATACTATCCTAACAGCCAATTGAACGACTCGCAGTATTCTGCGGTGGTGCGAATTATTTCGCAAGCGAACAGTGATCGTGTATTGCTTATTCAAGGTCCTCCTGGCACTGGAAAAACAACAGTCATAGCGGCCAGTGTCAACAGTATGATCAATAGTGGCCCTATGGAACGTACGGTCTGGCTTGTGGCGCAGTCTAACGTTGCCGTCAAGAATATCGCAGAAAAGCTTGATAAGGTTGGCTTTCGTAATTTTAAGCTTCTTGTATCCAGAGATTTCCATTACGACTGGTATGTTGCGCCTTCCTCACCTCCTCGTCATACTGAATTTTTGTGTCTCAGGCATGAACACCTTTACGAGAGACTGGAACATTGTTTTATACGATCCGACTTGTTTGGTGGTGGGACTGTGTCCATTAGTCGGCTTTTGCTCAACCAACACACAAACGAACCTACAAGAGTCATACTTTGCACATTGAGTATGCTGTCCAATCCTCGTATCGAAGAATTTACTCGTCAAGTCCCGGTTCAGACCGTGATATTCGACGAGGCAAGTCAAATCGAAGTGGGAGACTACCTGCCGCTGCTTCAGCGTTTCCAGCACAGCCTTCAAAAAATGGTGTTCATCGGTGATGACAAGCAACGTGAGATCCAGGTAGTTATAACATGGCTGACCTGTGCTGACTTGGATATCAGTGGCGCCTTTTGGTCAAGATGACATCGGGCAGCTACGAAGTGTTTTTGAATTCCCGCACCTTCGAAAGCGGGCACACTTTTTGAATACCCAATGTAAGCTCGTAACTCGACTTCATCCCCTCACCATTTGAACTTTATCATTCAGACCGCATGCCACTCGTCATTGGCAGCTTTATTTCCCGTCATGTCTACAGTCACAAATTGTTGACCGTGCACGATATCACTAGCAAGAATGCGTGTCGTTTCCTAGATGTCAAAAGGGGCCAGGAGCAGAAATCGGGAAAGAGCTGGATAGTGAGCTGCTCCTCATCGTTGTGATATGCCTGCCTTACGTTTGCATTAGAACCAACAAGAGATATCCGTGATTATCCACCTTGCTCGTATATACAACACCCAGGGCAAGCAGTACAGGATCCTCACCCCATACGATGGCCAGAGGTCTACGATCGAACACCAACTCGAATTAGCGAAGCTTCCGTGGGAAGACAAGTGCTTCAATGTGGACTCCTTCCAAGGCCAGTAGTTTCCTTGACGTGCTGGAAGGATCTGGCTGACACTCCCGCAGGAAACGAGGAAGACCACATAATCGTCTCTCTAGTCCGTACCCAGGGTGTAGGGTTCTTGAAGAACTCGCGCAGGACGAACGTCATGCTGACACGATGCAAGAAAAGCATGATCATTTGCACGAACCGTGATTTTGTGACGAAGGGTAAAGCAGCAAGCACGCTGGTCGGGCAGCTTGCTCTTACTATGGGCCCTGACTCCTGGTTGGACGGTCGTGATATAGTCAATGGCATCGTAAGGTGATTTGGACTATTTACCCTGTCGCACTTCTTGATTAAGTTTTGGGATTTTCTTGTCGCATATCGCACTGCATTTTGTATTATATGGCAATTGGTGTATGTACATACTGTAGATCAAGGTCTATGTAGGATAGAGATCTGTTGTATTGAACCACATGCATATGTAAACTTGTATTTGGTGTACGTCGAAACCTCCAGCAGGCCACCCTAGTGTCAAGGTCGGACGCTGAGTGCTGACTGCCCGAAATTTGTTACTACTCCACATCAAAATATCCTGACGGCGAGAGTCCTGTAGTATGAAGCGTCAGCGGGTGGTGTACTACTGCATGAACCCTCTATGGTAGAACCCACGCAGCAACGCTCAGAAGGTGGACGGAGCTAGCCGATGGCTTAAACGACTAGCGCTGCCACTAATCTGGGCACTATTAGACAAGTGTTGGACCTGGGGATAACATAGCCGGGCGTTCTTCACGTTGCATAGTAAACAGGTGATCAATAGACTACCACAAAGCACAAAGCAATTAACCTGCCATAATGAACAAGTGGATACCGTTACTCCATACAAAAGACGGCTATCTTCCTTCCATTCGCCCTTTGTTGCAGGGACAATGGTAGCAATCAGCATTCTGATCGATGGTGACCCCAAATAGCGCGCCTAGCAGAGTAAATTTGGACTCGGCGAGTCGCGGTCGTGATCAGCAATACTGAGCCAACCGGCGAGTCTGTGAGAATAATCACAGATACATTTAGATCCTTCCATGGAGTTCTGGAGCCAGAAAAAGAGCTTGGCAGGACGACACTTTGAACAAAGCGGCAAAGACTGCGGAGAGATTGCGATACCTATAGAAAATGGAAAGACTCGGAAGGCCGCTTAAACTTGAAGGGCTGGGAACCACGGGGACTGCTCGGAAATTCTAGCTGGAGTCAGGACTCAACAAGCGCCCACTAGTCATGAGGCTTCGGGCCCGGATCCTCGTTGCAGACCTTGAAATAGAGTTGCACTCCATCGGTAGACATTGCCACTCACCACCATCATTAACTATGCCCACAGCAACAAGACTGCTCTATCAACACCTCATGGAAGTCGACAGTGGACAGCTGTCGGCCCATATTATACCTGAATCCAACTTCGTCGAAGAGCAACATCAGTTGAGCAGTCTGTTAGAAAGGAACGAGGGACGTGCCCTTGGCCTTGCTGGCGGATTTGCGCTCACTGGAGAGCTCGCGATGCTTGCTATCGCCGACGCATCCACTATTATCATTATCGAGTTCGAGTTGAAGAAGAACAAGGGCAACGAACACGATGAACGCCCTGTCACACCCACCAGTGAGAGAGGCAACACCGCTCGGGAGTTTTTGACACAGAACCTCCTTCGTCGCACAACCGGATTCTTATACGCTTTCGATGTCGCTTCGATCGTTCTGGCTCTATTTCAAACACTTGATCTTCGAATCGCAAATGCGATCGATATACAGAGCGTATCGAAAACACGTGTCCCACTCACCATTGTTAAACAAGCCGTTGGTGATCTTCATCGTGTACACGATGTGAACATCAACGGAGTTTTCTGCGATGATACTATCAATCATCTGCCTGTGGCCTCTGCCGCTAAGAAAGATGGCATTACTCCACTTGCACTACGTGCATGGATCGCACACTATCTATCACAACTCTCAAGCATGGAAGATCGTCTCGCGCAAGTGCCCCCGGTGGATACCTTCCGGCTCTCTGACGAAGTAGGTCACTGCTTTCTGGACGAACGATGGCGCTGATCGTAATCACAGGCATTAGAGTTTCTCGGGAAGAGCTCGAAGGATTCGTTCCAGCTCGAGCAGAAGAAGCCGGCCGAGGTCACGCGCCAGTTTGTTACTTCTGTCGACCATAGGAACAACCGCATCCATGCCCAAGTCGACAGATATCAGAACAAAATCCGCAAGAACCAGCATCAGGCATGTAGTCCGCGTGTCCACACTATGCCTTACTTGACAACCGATTTTCTCAGCATGCATTCATTGCTATCGGTGGGCGCGACGGGCTGGGCTTCACTATCGACGGGCAGATCGGCAGGTCTCAGGGTCGCACCGCCAACCTTGCTACCACCAACAGTCTCAGTTTAGTCGGCAAGATCATAGGCTCGATCAAGATTGTCGGCCGTGAAGACCCTACTCAGGCTGAGAGCCAGCGTGCTCAAAAGGTTCTAGAGATCCTCCAAGGTCTCATCAACCTTGAGCACGACAACCCATGGGTTCAGCTCATATTATTTTCCTCTCCAAAAGATGACTTCCAATGGCCCTCCGCCTGGACGGAGGAGGCGAACGATGCGGATATTGTCAGATACCGTGCCGACCGTGTCAGTCGCCCCCTCAATCCATCTCAGACGAAAGCTGTGAAGCAAATGCTTCAGCAGTCAAATGACAAGCGTCTCACTGTCATCCAGGGGCCCCCTGGAACCGGTAAGACCACTGTCATTGCTTCATTTGTTCAGACCGCCCTTGCCGGTGGACTCTCTGGCATCTGGCTCATTGCACAATCCAATGTTGCCGTCAAAAACATTGCCGAGAAACTCGCTGACATTGGCCTGACCAAATGGAAGCTTCTCGTCTCAAAGGAATTTTTCGAGTACTGGTCAGTTCTTTCACTAGCGGATTTTTTCCCCTTTAGGCAGACTGACACAATCTAGGCACGAGCACCTCTATGCAAACATTCGGGCCAATATCATCATATCGGAGGACTTCAAGGCTCCAAATTTCTTTCAGGAGCTGCGAAACAGCCCGGTCATTCTCTGTACTCTCTCAATGCTTTCATCTTTTGCTCTTCGCATGCATGGAGGTTTCGAAGCCGCGCCACTCAGGACCCTCGTCATTGACGAAGCATCCCAAATTGAGATCGGTGACTACATACCTCTCTTCACCTCTCACACCACCATCAGAAAGGTTTGCTTCATTGGTGATGACAAACAATGTGAGTCTTTCTTCTGTGTACTATCACATGTTCTGATATCTTCAGTGCCACCCTATGGTCAGGATGATATCCAGGCCCTCAAGAGCATCTTCGAGGTCAAGCATCTCAAGGACCGTGCCATTTTCCTGGATATCCAATGTAAGTCCTTTACCTAATGTTCCTGTATCCCAAATTTTATCATTTTATTGTAGACAGGATGCCGCCTCAAATTGGACAGTTCATATCTGAAGCTGTCTACGATGGCCTGCTCGACTCGAATCCGCAACATACTGTCACGAACGAGAGGATGGCTTGTCATTTCATCAACATTCCCAGCCAGGAACAGTCACATGGAACTAGTTGGAAGGTAAGTCACTTGAATTCGGTCACTCGCAGTTGGCTAATGTCGTGCGCAGAACCTTGAGGAGTGCCAAACCATTCTCCACATTTCTGCTATGCTGCAAGCAAAGAATAAGCAATTTAGGATCATCACCCCCTACGACGCTCAGCGGAGTTTGATCGAGGAGCGTTTGAAGCTCAATGAGCTTGAATGGGAAGATAAATGTTTCAACGTTGATTCGTTTCAAGGTTCGTTCTCGCAACATGTATTTGTAACATCATATTTATGGTTCGTTCGTGGCAGGTAACGAGGAAGACTATATCGTAATCTCGCTCGTGCGGTCCACGGTGCTCGGATTCCTCGCCGACTTGCGCCGGACTAATGTCATGCTTACTCGATGCAAGAAAGGCATGATCATCTGCACCAGCCAGAAATTCATGAAGCGGGCAGGGTGTGAGTCACTCGTGGGCAGCTTGTTGGAGTATTATGAACACGAGTGGATCGAAAAGAACGACTTGGAGAAGATTGTGTTGTAGGTGGGCCCGCGAAGGTGCTAGTTGTTGACGGCCTCAACCAGAATTTACTTTCGCAATGATGGTTAGTTGTATGATACATAGTCGGTTTGTACGATAGCTCGCGCGGTCAATACTCCTTATAAGGGACTTTTTTTTTCTTTTTCTTGGAATAAAGAATGAGTTTCAATTGCGTCTGAGTGGTGTATTGTATGGTGAGCGATACATAGGTATAGTTTTGTGCAAGCAAGAGTAGGCTAATTTGGTGAAGTTTGGACCTCGCGATCGCCAACACAAGTTGGGCAGACGAGCGAGGTCGATCGTTGGTAACCATGTAGAATTCTTGATCGAGTATCCAAGCTTCTACTCAATCTGTATGGTGTCCGATCGCTTGCGATGATATCTCCATCAGTCGGATCCTCGTGTTCAACAAGCTAAGGCACAAACCTTGGTCGACACCACCAGGCCTATAACCGCGCCTGTACTCGCGTGTCCGCCCCATCCAATTTCTTCTTTTGGTCTTTCAACTCGAGCTCTCCAGCCTCACAAATCGCCCGCATATCCTGGAGCGCATCTGCGATATGTTGCTTGAACTTATTCGTGGAGGTGAGCGGGGATGAGAATTTGGACTCGACACAGAATTTGATGCGATTGGGTGCTATGAGATCTGTGAGACAACAGAATATGAGCTTGGTTTTGTGGCAAGCGTGAGCGGAATTGCCAATTATATTCGGAAACGAAACACCTTCAGTCGACCTAGTCAACCGATGGTGATATCGGCGACAATAACAAATGCAGATGGGAAATTATTACAGACGAAGAATCCCTCACTGAGGTTCGACAATCCTGCAAAACAAATGTGAAATAAACGAATCAAACTTACAATTAATCCCATAACCATCCTCCCAACCAGCTCCAAAGCCAGTGCCCCGGAATTGGTCACCGGCGCTCAAGCCACTAGTGCTAAGTTTCCACTCCTGAGAGCGAGAGAAAAGAGGGTCAGCGAAGAGAGGGTGCGTACGTTTTTGCGGGGAGTCAGTGGGGCCTGATTTCGAGGGAGAGTCCGAGGAGGAAGTAGATGTGATCGCATCTACAGGGAGTTCTTCTAGCATCAACTTCAGGCCTAATAAGTGCCTGTCGATTCCACGACCTATAGCGGCTTCCCTCGTGCGCCTTGCATGCGTCTGGATAGCCTGTTGGAGGAGGGAAAGAAGTGCACGGGGCTGATCAGATTAGTGTATCAAAAAGCATAAGTTGCCGTCGTCACTATGAGGGTATAAAAACAAATTCACCTCCACTTCGTGCTGGCCCCCCTCTGCCACACACTCAGCTCCACGTCCCCATCCCTTAGCAGCCAGAACAAATTCTAATCCCTCCACACTTGCACTCCTCACGCATTCTGTACGGCCAGCATTAAACATTCGCGTAAGGGCCGTTTCGTAGGTCGCTGTGAGGACTCCACGGGAGCGGTACCAGGCGAGTTGGAGTGCAAGTTGAGTGTAGGCGTCTGGTGGAAGGCGTGCTAATAGTGAGGTGATTAATGACCTTTGCAACAAAAGAAAGAGGGGGATGGGAGAGGGGGAAAATATTGACCCGGAAAATAAATAAAAGAGGCAACACGCCAAAAAATCGACAAGGAGTCACCAAACTCACCAACACTCCTTATCCAGTCTGCTCCATATTCTCCGAATTCCCAAACCCCTGCCTCTGAGTTATTAATCAAAGCCTGAGCCCGTCCTTCCGCTTCTTTTATCTGAGCTTCGATCCGCTCGTCGGTCACCCAGTCTAAACGGGACCATCCTTTTCCACTATCACTCACACGAGCCTCTTCTAAAACAAGAGGACGCGGAACAGGCTCCGAGAATGCAGAAAAGTCGATACCAGCAACGACACTGTAATCAAAGACGATGCTGGGTACTAAGGCATCAACAGGTGTGTGCTCACCCATCACGCCAGCGCGGGTATTGCGCTCTAATGATAGGGTCAGGCATTTGTCGAAGAATCTGTTCCGAGCTCGGGGAGGGGAGCGGGTATTGTGGAGGTGTGCGTGGATTTCTGCGTCGGAGTCTAATGCCGGGATGCTTGCGTGAGATGCTTGGGAAGAACTTGGCAAGGTAGGGGTTGAGTAATGCCATGGCATGGCAGTGTAATGGTCGAGGGAAAGAGCCATTATAGATTCGTTGATAGCACGGAAGGTCGAGGCATTTGTGGGCGAAAGGGAGACCAAATGTTGATAGTTCTACGGAAGTGGTGTTAGTAACGAGACGAGCAAGAAAATAAGAGTCGAAAAACATACTGACCTCTGCCCAACGGTCTCTCTCATCCGAGGTCAAGACACCGACTGGCACGGCACTTTCCCCAGACTCTAGTCTATGGATTACATCTAGTGCTACCGCACGTATTCGATCCTCAATGGTCTGTACAGGCAACGGTGTCCGATCATCGTCACAGACCCTTACGGTATACACAAAATCATATAACATGAGCATAATATCCTGGGCATACTCAGATGCCGGATTCCTGGTTGCAAGAACATCTGCTCCAGCTCTTGGTAGACGACATGTGTTGAACATCTTCTCCGTATTAGTTAGGAGCCAGACACCAGTACGGGTTGTATCAGGGTCTGGATGCTGATTGACCATGCGAGCGCGCCAGTCGAGAACACGATGCAATATACACGCGGCCCGGCGCACCTGCCAGGGCTCTATACCTGATTTGGTGTCACCGCGCAAGATAGACTCGGGTATGGAGGGATCATTGATGAGTGTAAGCCACCAGTTAGAATTAATGAGAAGCGGGACACGCCATGAGAGGTAGGCATAGTTCGTCCAAATATTATCGTCTAGCCAGTTATGTGGCGAACGAGCGTCCAATTCTGCGGACACAGTTGGTTGAATTGAATTTTGTTGGATTAACGGAAGGATATACCGTGGAGTTTATGCTGGCAAAGGCGGCCGATACCTTTCTCAAAGTCATCTACCCATTGAACACGTTTCTTGTAGCTGGCTTCAAAGAGAGAGTGACCGCGTGCCTCGTCTTCGCGTAAGAAGGGCTGAATAGACTGCAAGTAACGGTCTAACGTCTTGCGAAGGTCGGGCACGGGCAAACGCGGCAACTTTGCCATGGTGCTCAACCCAGCACACCTCGACGAGAGGATGAACAGGGAACTCCGGGGTACCCTCAGGCAGTATGGGAGTATTATACGACCGCCTGAGATCATGCCAGTTGCAGTGGTGAGCAAATGATACACGTGACTTAAATCATAAAATGGTGTGACACACGCGACGTCGTGACGCGCCTTTGTATCATTTAGCTTTCTTCGATGACTGAACCTGCTGCACCTGCAAACATACTTAAATGGGTCAACGAACAGTATCCACGTCCAGCTTTAGATCCAGTAAAATTTTAATTGATGGTTTGCATTTATGATATTTACTCACCCACAGGTTTGGCTTCGCGACTGTTGCTCATGGATCGCGTCTTCATACTCCCTTTCTCCAGCTGACTTTCCACAGTTTAGTTCCCATGTAACTTCTCAATTTTTACAGTCCAGCCTCGCAGATTCCACCCTACCGAACACTGGCCTCCCACAAAATATCCGTACTATCAAAAGGGCTCGTCTTACAGGTCATCCGTGTCTTGTAGAGATCCGTGCCATCAGCGACATTGGCATTAGTGCGTTTAGCTTGATGAACGTGAGGCAAAATCGCATGGATCGAGCGGACTTGGCTGGCCTTGTCAGGGAGGATGAAGAGGACGCAGAAGAGGACGAGGGCCCAGTCCCAAAGTATCCGAGAGGCATGCTGCGTCTCGAATTAAGCGATGGTTTCACAACCGTCGAGGCTGTGGAATATCGTGCTATACCACAGCTTGAACTTGGCGTCACTCCGCTGGGGTACAAGGTGCGTGTTGGTCAGTCACTTTGTGTCGTTTTAATAGAATCCGGCTATTAGATCCTCTTGAAGGACGTACAGATTCGTAGAGGAATTATCTTCCTTGAACCCCAGACGATTGAGCTGAAAGGACATCAAACAGAGGACCATGAGGTAATGCAGGATGAAATCTTCCTGCGCAGCCTAAGACGGAGGCTTGGGTGAGTTCCCTGCGTTCAAATGATCATCAAATTAATTGAGACCCCTTAGACAACCCGACCCAGAACCCAATCCACAACCTCCTGGTGAAGCCGAGGCTCCGCCGCAGGCACTCCCACTTTCTAGTGTTCCATCTCCTCCTGTTGCTAACAGACGGCCTGTTGGTAATCCACCCGAAGGTTCAACATCCACCAATACCGCAACCCCAGCAGTTCGATTGAAACCCTTATCTACTGCAGCGCAGAAAACGAGCTTAGCACGAGCAGCCCCGAAGTCGAACTCTATCCCTCCTTCCACCTCGTCTACCCTTGTCTCATCCTCTAAACCAACCTCTTCGCTCAAGCCTCCCTCTGCTCCAGGTAATCTTGCGTCGACCACCTCGCCATACTTTTCTACATCTTCTACACTGTACACCTCAGTCCCTTCGTCATCAACCTCGGACAGGACTAATCCACGAGATAATCCCTCTGCCCCACTGGCACGGGCTCGGATCCTTTCCCCCGCACCACGGGATGCCACGTGGAGCTTGGATGACGAGGAATTCGAGGCTTTCATAACTGAGGTTGGATCAGCGCCTATCTCACCTCCAAAGCCCATATCCAAGCTGCCTTCAAAGCGAAATGTTCCATCCGCAAAACCTGCGTCACCACCCCGTGCCCCGTCACCACCCTCAGATTACGATTTAGATTTGATGGACCTAGACATCGATGATGAACTGATTGCCCAAGCGGAGAAAATAGAGGCAGAAGCATTAGCGACAGTTTCTAAGTCACCAGGCACGAAAGGCTTAGGTTCTGATATACGAGACATGCGTCAAATGAATGCTTTGCGGGCGACGGGTCCACGCCATCAAGGTGTCCAAGGAATGACGACGGTATCTGGCTCATCTCGACCGTCCGCAGTTCCAGCCGTCAGCACAATGACATCACGTCCTCGAATCGGTCCAGCATCGGTCCAACGCCAGCCCACAAACTCCACCCGGCGTAGGGCACCGGGCCCTGCTTCCGCGCGACGTCAATATACTGCGTCCACGTTGCAGCAAGATGTCATTGACGTCGAATCAGATGATAGCATGTATGTGGACGACTCGGACGATGGAAAGGAGAATGTTCCAACACGGACGCGGGTGGTAGTCGATGAGGATATAATTGTGATTTCTGATTAGATTTTTTTGATCAAGCAACTTCTTAGTTGTGTGCATGTGCTGTTCCTTGGTCAATTATGTCACCACTTGATTTAGAATAACTATTTCAATTTCTTAGACACACTCAATGTCAGCTTATTATACGATCAGGTTCACCGGAAGACGGAAGGGTTACAAGTAGAGGTGGAGATTGTCTCTTGCACCTCGGATGCTTCCCGCTGTTATACACATCTACAGTCTCGTCACTGACCACCTCATCATCACCAAGTGTCCCTTATCATCAACTGGAAATTCTGTCAACTCCGTTTCCACCTTGACAGTCCCCTTCTCGAAAACCTCACCATCCCACAAAGATGACCAAGACTCGGGAGAATGAGCAAACCCCCGATACTCGACACCTGATAAATTGTTAGTTATGTTGCCCTTTTCAACAGCTCCGTTGTCGAAGCCGCAAATTACGGAGCCTGGCTGAGCAGACAGAAGACCCGCAAGAGCCCTGGCAATGTACAATTGGTTCTCTTCGTTGAAGAGGTGGAAGAATGCAATAGCGTTTATTGCGCTAACGCGACCATGAAGGGGGCTGAGGGATTTCAACGAGGACAGATCGATAGCTGGCGCTGGAAAGACGTCGACCGATGGCGTAACTATGGAAAGGAATTCTGAATCGAAGATATCTCCAGGAAGTAGAGATCCGGGGTAGGAAGCTGGTGTCGTTTTGAAAAGTTCGTGACTCAGTTGAAGAAACTCTGCACGTACACATCGTCAGCAGGAATGATAGTTCACAGGAAAACTGTATTACCTTCGACGACATCCGACGCAATGATATTTTTGGCAGGGAACCCATCTGCCGCAGCCTTTCTAGCGTCAACGCCGACTAAAAAAAAGTCAATATTATTAAGGACAGTACATAATGATTTGACGTACAGCAACAACCAATGTCGAGTAATACAGCATCGGGGCGCTCGCGACCAAGCTTGAGGATGTGTTCATACACAGAAAAATTTGACAAGTTTAAGCTGAGGAGTGTTCAATTTCCGTGATATGCAGATCTACCGAAAACATACCGAAGGAAGCCAAATCTATGAATACAAGGATATGGTGCAGCCTATCAGTGGTAGATGATTATTAGACTTATTACGAAGTCTTCTGGGAATGACTCGCCTTGTATGCTTTCGCCTGAACTTCCAGGATATGCCTCTTCAAGTCTTCATCATCATCAATACCGGTTTGTGTCTTGAAGAATGCAGCTTGTGAGGGAGACATCTTGTAGAAACTGGTGTCTACTGTTGGGACTGATGCGGTCTGAAATGTTATGTCGCCCAACGTCATCGTGGAGTCCCCGTGAATAGTAGCGCCTTCCATCTTGAAGCTTCTTCTGAAGAGGTACAATTTGTCCTGAGACAGTATTGCAACCCCTTTATATTTAACAGAACGACTCTCCGCTGAGGCGTCTACAGACATCAATGTTGTTAGATGCTCATCACGTCATCTAGTGAGGCTATGTGAAGCTAGACAACTGAGCAGATAATCAGTGACTTGCAGTACGAGTGGTACAATCTTCATAATGGTAATTGACGCAGCATTCCCGACTCCCACGTTAGGGCTCCGAAACACCAGGATACGCTGACGCAATATCAAGAAATGAGTCACCGGAGGCAATGTTACACGCTGCTACAGCACGTAAGTAAAGTCTACCATCAGCCGAGCACTGCCCTTGATGGTAAGCGCACGCCAGAACAGAGAACTACTAGTAGCTTCATGGTGAGGTTGCCCTGACTAAAATGTTTAAGCACTAGTGCTATCAGTAGTTGGTTTGCTCACCGTATCAATGGACATCGGATCAGGTCAGGTTGTGCCAGGGTCACACTCGTCCTTGACAATGCACTGGATATTGCCCGCTAAAAATCGGAGGTAGCATCTACAGCATTGTTTGTCAGGTGGATAAGCGCAAGTCAGTGCGCATAAGGGATTAAGACCCGCCTGCGTCGGCGACTGGAAGCATCTGTTTATGGCGTAGTGGATCTCTCACATTTAAATTTGTCAGAGGCTATGAGTAACAAAAGAGAATGGGGTGCCCGAACATATACGGATGAGGTTCGATGGCAAGGCAGTGAGGTTTCCCTACTAATTGATCCACCTGCATCTTGGATGGGCCCACGGAGACCCGGATCCCTACAACAACTATGTTTCAGAACATCATTCAAGAGTCTAGGTTTTCTTCTTCATGTTATTCGAGAGTGGCGGTCATGAACAATAAGGGTTCTACGGGCAGGTATTGTATGATGGATGGTGAAGCACTGATGACCGAAAGAAACGCATCTTGGGTACTAACGGACGAGAAATGAACCCGATAAAAAGTTGCGATCATTGACGTCGAATGAGAATTAGACTAGTAGACAACTCAGACGTGACGGGTCCGGGAACGAGGTGATTGCCGACAGTACTGAGCGCTGAGCTTCGATGGACAAGACTGAACGATGAATAATTGACTACATAGCCATATGAAACGAGGGAACGTTATATGCATGTGGTAATGAAAGTTTCTTTAGCTTAGGTCCATATTTAGTTTGATTTCGTCAAGGAGCTGTAGTGGTGTAATCAGCCAATCAAAAATCGTTAATTGTTAGCCACACCTCCCTAAGTGGTCCTGCCAAATGCCGCTGGCCCAGGGAGACGCTCAGAGTCAGCGCTTCACCTTGAAACGATGCTATGGTAGCACAAGTTACATCCCATCACGATGGAGGGTACTACTATACACGATAACTGTACGACGTTGTTGGGCGACGTAACATTCCAGTTCGCATCACTGCCAACAATAGACACCAGCCTGTACGATTTGTCTTCCGAAGAAGCTGCGTTCTTTAAGGCGGAAATCGGCATCGACGATGACGAAGGCTTGAAGAGGCATATCCTGGAGGTGCAGGCGAAAGCATACAAGGTGAGTTACTTGTAGACTCGACCTCACCATAAGTTGAATAACCTTTTGCTGTTGAAAGATTGCACCGTATCCTTGTATTCACGGATTTGTCTTTCTTCGGTACGTGAGCTATAATCTATGTATTCAAGTCGATTCATGATAAGACAACCGTGTTCAGCCTCAACATATCGAGTTACCCCGTGTATGAACACATCCTAAAGCTTGGTCGTGAGCGCCCCGATGCCGTGTTACTTGACCTTGGCTGTTGTTGTACGTCAAATTACGATTTACTTTGTTGGGTACTAAAGCTTGACTCTATTTTAGTCGGTGTTGATGGCAGAAAGGCTGCGGCGGATGGTTTTCCTGCGAAAAACATCATTGCTTCGGATATCATCAATGGTAATTCATTTTGTCCGTGAAACATTACTGCTAACGACTCGGATGCATGCATATACAGAATTCCTCGAGCTTGGTCATGAACTTTTCAGAACGACACCAACTTCTTACCCGGGATGCCTCCTTCCCGGAGATGTGTTCGATCCAGAATTTCTTTCCATAGCTGCGCGTCAGAACAATGTCTCTTCGGTCCCGGCTATCGATTTATCCTCGTTGAAATCCCTCAACCCCCTTCATGGTCGCATTAGCGCAATCAGTGCTACAAGGCTTTTCCATCTCTTCACTGAGGACAAACAATTGCATCTTGCCAGGGCTCTTGCGGGCCTATTATCTGCGCAGCCAGGTTCCGTTATCTGCGGTTCTCAGATTGGAAGTCTCGAAAAAGGCATGGTTAGTGCCAACATATCGGGCAGTGTGCATCAGCTGTACGCTCATTCTCCCAAAACTTGGTCGTCTTTATGGGATGGAGAGGTATTCGAGAAAGGCAGCGTCGAGGTAGAAACGGAATTATTGGAAGTCATGATTCACGAGGTGCAATTCTTCATGATGAGGTGGTCAGTGGTGAGATTGTAGATACGAACATCGCAGTCGATTTAAGGAAATGGAGATTAATGTAGTGATAGCTCGTCTGACTGTCAAGGACAAGGGAACCAGTAAATCCTCATACTGTATGTAGGACCCCAATGTTCATTTCCACCATGCCGATCTCACTAATATACCGACCAAGTTTCCCTCTCTCACTTATACCCATCCCTTGAATATGATCATATATTCGAAGAATCCTAGCTGGTGGCTAATCATGCATTTTTACAGCTATGTTTCAGGTTCGTGGAGGTCTAGTCAAGACGCGAGACAGTGAAATGGAAGTACATGCCAGGTTTAAAGTTGTGTCGATTCCTAGATGATTAAATTATCGACTATGCCCTTTGGCATCGATGTACGTGTACTCACTCAAATTAACCGCGATACTTGTATCCACAATTCCATTGACCACCCTGTCATGGGAAACTGCTCCTTGTAAAGTGGATCTTTCACTGATTCCGTTTCTACCTCTATACTGCTTTATCCCATAAAGATGACCAAGTCTGGAGGAAATGAGTGATGGCTTGCAGCTCGTGGTAAATATTGGCAGTTATGATGCCTGTTTCGAGAGTTTCGAGCTGATCACCACAAATCAGAGCCTCGCTGCGCAGATAAAAGATCCGCGAGGGCCCTAGCAAGATGCAATTGCTTCTCCTTATTGAATAGATGGAAGAGTTTAGTTGTCTGTAGCCTTATTACCAAGTGGATATGTGCAAGTCTACCTGTGCTTCCTTTTGTGATTATGTGCGATGAATTGGAAGTGTCGTTTTTGAACGCACGCGTGCATAAGAATGGTCAGGCACAGGAAGCATGTCCTTGTGGTATAGCAGATCTCTTACATGGGCAAGAACTATGGGTTACAAGAAAAGACGGTGTTCATATTAACGTTCAAACGCACGCAAATGAATGAGGTTCGATGGCAAGGCGTCGAGGTTTCCCTGGGGAGTGTCCAGTATGTAGGTGGTTCGGAGAATCATCCGAGGATCTGAACCTTCGTCTTTTTCTTCTTCTTTGTGGTATTGTTGAATGACCGCCATGAATCAACACGGGTTTCGCGGGACTCTACGAGCAGGTGATAGACGATGGTTAATGAAAGTGGTAGTGACCAAAGAAATCGCAGAACGCACCTTCCCATGTTTTATCGTCCTCCGCTTTACGTTTTCTTGTAGCGACTTCTTCCTCCTTTTTCCGAGCTTCCAGTCCCTCATTCGCAAGGTTCATCTTAATCGCTCTACAAGAAAACCGAACCATTAGGACTGCAATAAGCTCAACAACAAAGACGAGTGTCTCACTTCCTGCGTCTAACCTCTTCCTCAATTAACAAGTCCTTCACCTTTGCTCGCAACTGCACCTTGAAGGGTGGGACTAGTCCTCGAAGTTTCGGATCATCGTCCTGCGTGCTCGTAGAGAAACCGTGACTGCGGAGGAGCTGTAGGCGCGCCTCTGCAATTGTGGCGTCGAGAGCTTCGCGTTTGGCAGTGTCGGATAGCTCAGATTCAGCCTGAGTCAAGAGTGAGAATTTGGATTCATGTGTATACGGCAAACCAAATGATATGCGAGGAAAGTGAATATTGAAACTTCCGTTGAAGTAAGGGTGTTGTGAGTAACGGAAGATGACACAGAGATGAACTCAATGGAAGAATTAGAAGCATGGGGAGGGACACATTAGAGGGAGAAAAACGCACCTTCTTGAGAAGGTCGAATGCATCTGGAGCACGAGCGTGGGGGGTCTTGTCAGGATGGATGACTTGTTACGGAACAACGTACGCATGCACAAAATCGACCAGACATGAAGTGAAGCCGAGTTCAAGGTGGAGCAGAATCACCAAAGGAACAACCATGATTATGGAGGCGTAAAACCGTCAGCTATTATTCTATGAATTAGAGGATGGGTGAAGCGAGATCGCTCACAGAGAGACAACTGCCGGTATCTGCGCTTTATTCCTTCGGGCTTCGAAGACTCGTCTATGTCGAGAATATCATATGGGCTAGGTCATGATGCTAAATGACTGATCAAACGCAACATGTAACTACGTACTTGAGCTTGAACGCCTTGAGAATCCGCTCGACCTCAAGCTCACGCTGGAAGGCAGATGCTTCCCGAGAGAGAAGCTGCTCTATATCCGTATCGCTTGTCGAAACGGGTGTCTTTGAACTAGAAGGTGTTGATGTTCCTGTCGACATGTCGTTGTCGTCGTCGTCGTGGGCGATCAAGTTGAAGGCAGTGGTAGGTCTCACAGAAAAGTCACGTGCTTGCCACTTGAAGTCGGAAGCAGGAATGTCTTGTTCGTCATTGACGGCGATGTCCTTCAAGCTGTGTGTGCCTCTCTTGAAGGCAGGCCGTGCGTCTCAGTCTGTGAGTGCATTTTCAGATCAACCATCTTTGTTAAGCTAACTTTTTCATAGACGACTCATCACTACCTGGACGCGTTCTTTCAATGTCGTTCATTGAGTCGTTCATTGCATACCGTCAACAGCACTCATTTCTTGACCCATCTTGGTAAAAGTCCATGCTCATGGTCGACATCACGCTCCATACTTTGGCGGAAAATGGCCACCAATTCCCATCCCAGGACGCCTTTGAATGCTAAATCACGTCTTCCACCATATGCATCCCGACAGTCATTGTACGCCGCCCGGAATCGCAATCTGCTGATGTACTCCTCTGCCGTCGTATGATTTCGCTGTCTTATTTCCCATATGTTTTCATTCTATCTTGACAGATTGTCTTCGCAGTAGGGGTAACTTATGCTGCAGTTCCGCTCTACCGGATGTTCTGCGCAGCCACCGGCTTCGCTGGCACTCCAAATGTTGGTACAGGCCGATTCGAACCTGGGCGCCTGGTTCCTGTTGACGGAGCACGTCGCATCAAGGTTCATTTCAATGCTGATCGTGCTGAAGCGCTACCGTGGGCTTTTACTCCGCAACAGAAGTTCGTGACAGTCCTTCCCGGAGAAACCAGTCTTGCTTTTTATAAGGCCAAGAATGAGAGTAAAAATGACATAATTGGAATTGCAACGTACAATGTCACGCCTGACCGAGTGGGTACCGCACTGGATGTCGGATGTCAGCAGCTATTGATGTTTGGTGGTTGTAGATTGCTCCGTACTTTTCGAAAGTAGAATGCTTCTGCTTTGAGGAGCAGAAATTACTTGCAGGAGAGGAAGTCGATATGCCGCTCCTTTTTTTCATAGATAAAGATATTCTCGATGATCCTGCATGCAGGGGCATTGATGACGTTGTTTTGTCGTATACGTTCTTCAAGTGCGTGTCTCTGTTACCCGTCAAATCTACCAACCTCAAATACTGATTATATAGAGCCCGTCGTAACGCTCAAGGTCATCTTGAGCCAGATGCAAGTGACAAAGACGTTCAGAATTCTCTTGGGTTCGGAGATTACGAGATGGCACCGCGTGCAGAAATTCGCAATGCGCAACCAGGAAAGAGCTCGTGATTTATGTCCGCTTTGATCAATTTTCACAGAGCATAGCAAGTGTTCGCCGTACTCTTTTGTATATCTATTCTATAGCATACTTACATACCAGTACTCGTTCGGACGCAACGGAATACACCTTCCGAATAACTTCAAGCAACCTCGTCAACCGCAAATCCGGCACATACCTTTTATCTCTTCCCTTCGATAATGCAAGGGTAATGGTCACACTTACCGTCTTGAGTGATCATACGGCCTGATTGACAAGCCTTCAACTCAATGTTTTCATGTACTGTTTAGCTGAAGTAAGTACGTTTGGCAATGTTAAATCCTGTATGGATGTAATTTAACTTAAAGCCACACGAACCCTATGCATAATCTGGCATAACTGTTGATGCATCGATAAAGTATAGCCGTCGGAACTCGATGTTATATAGTATTGGTTGTATATCCTAACACTGCTGATATACCGCTGTTGCCGCTTCTTAGCTTTTCTTATAGCGTTGGGGACAGACCTTGTCGCCAAGAACTCACTCACATTGTTCTCTGTTAAAGCAAAGCCGCAATCCTCTTTGAGACTATTGCAACGAACAAATGATCTCCCGCCGAGTTGAACATGCTTGAAGTCGAGCGAGAATATTACATAATGGCTTGTCAAATAGCTCGGCTATAGTTGACGCGTCCGATCGGCTTTCTTCAACAGTAAATCATCTATAGCTTAAAGCTTCAGTTTTGGGTCTGCACTCGTCCATCCTCCATGAACGGTTTCTGCAGAGAACTCAGGACTGCTAGTTTTCGAACAAACTTGCGCTCATACTCTAATCATACTAGTCTTGCGTCTGCAGCAGCACATCGTAACCGCTGGTTCCTCTATACCCGTGCTTTCTCTGCTTCTGTAGATGTAGAGCCTTCGGATACACCAAAACACAAGCCAAAAGCAAGCACACCACTTCGTCGTAGTGCGTCTGCATCGATACCCATTCGCTCCAACCCGACACCTACTAGAAGTTCTATCAAGCCTGTGATCACTCTTGCGACAGCAGAACGATACCTATTGTCAAGACTACGTTCTCGTCTTCCGGATGCTCAGACACTTCATGACTCCTGGTGGGTTCCACAATGGGGTGACGGGGGCGAGATTTTTGTGTTCTCAAATGGAAGTTTTGTGTGCTGGGGTCTTGGAGAGGGAGAAGCGCGACGATTTGCACGAGAAATCCTTGCCCCTAGTGAGGTTGGCCGGTTAAAGGATCCAGAGACAGAGGAACTGGAATTTGTAACAGATCCAACAGAGTGGGTACTCAGTTCAACTGCTCCAGCCAAATTTACTCACGAAAAATCCTTTGTCAGAAAAACTCGGATACAAGGAGATTTAATCATACTTGGACGTGTAGCACCACTCGAATACCCTGAAAATGCCCCTACCGTACCGCCAGTTTCCCCTGCACTCCCCGCAGATACCCTTCTGGCACGATATACATTCTCCCAAGCACTATCGCGTTCTACAGCTCTTTCAGGTCTTGAAGAATCGCTTGAGGACTATCTCTCCTCCGTAGCACTTCTCCCGCACTCCCTCGAGAAGACGGGAAAGCCTGGTCTGAGCAGGGAAGCCCTTATCAAGAAGCTCGGAGCGCTTATGAAGTTTCGCCAGGGCCTTAATCTCAACAGGGAGAACTTCTCTGATACCCCAGACTTGTACTGGACTGAGCCTGAATTAGAAGGTTGGCGTAATGGCCATCAGTCCACGTCGATCTAACTTAATCTGAAAGGTTTCTTCAAATCGATGACGACGGCTCTCGAAGTGAAGGCAAGAACCAACGCGGTCAATGAGAAAATCACCTATGCCACAGAGGTGAGACGCTCAAGGTAAAACGATACATGTAACTAATTATCCAACTCAGGTGCAATCAACTCTCCGTCAGCTACTTACGGAGGTACGTTATCTCACGTCAAAGATTGTGGGCGCATACTCACTTTTCTGTTAGTCATCTACTCATCGGATGGAACTTGTGATCATCGCCCTTATTGCTGTGGAAGTTGTCATCGTATGTACTCCAACGGTCATTTTAATTTTGCCTATCTTATGCACTCCTGTTTCAGGCTCTGATACGGGATGGCCCCGAACTCTGGCAAATGGTTTTTGGATCATCTCATGTTGAAGATAAGATACCAGCACCTCATTCATAGGTGATCAAGATCCCTGGTCCTCATTGGGCAGGAATCTTTACGATTTGTGGGTGCTGTTCTGAATTCAGACGTCATTCGTGTTGATCGGATTGACCCAGAGCTCCACCTTAGTACATTGCATTATGTATTTACACTATTCAACACTCGCAAGCTTGCACATATTTATCGTGGTCAATCTCCACTCAATCTACATTGTTGTGTCGTTTCCGTTCTTCGCGTGGGTTTGACGTCGTGGTGGGGCCGCCTTCGAAGTTCAATCGAGCATTCAAACATATCGATTTCATATCCGGTCGTCCTTCCCTTTTCCAATGCGGAACGTCAGTGGTCCAAATGCTTTAATCTGCTATATACAGACTGGGACACTTTCATCTGTTTGACACCTTGAACATCCCAGTATTGGCAAAAAAAACTGAGCGCAACTCACCGTCCAAAATTCAAGTAGGATGATGTAACACCTTCCAGAAGTTCTGCAGTTGACAGACGCTGCTCTGGCTTAAAACTCATTGGGTCCGGGAATCAATGAATCATGGCCAGCGTGCTTACATGTGGTCCTTCAAGCCAGACCACAGCTTTTGAATGTGATACCTGTTGTAGGCATTGTTTATACTCATCATAGCATGCAGAATGGGCACTGCATGAGCTGTTGGGAGCACAATTTGTTTTTATCTCGATTCACCTATTCAAGTTGGTGGCTGCATCATGGAGTCTCAAGATATGTACACTGCATTACTTTCATCTACATATCATAAGAACGCAGTGATTTGATCCCGCAGAACCAATTCGTGTTGACACCATGTGCGTGCTCCACTCGAGCTCCTTTGTACCCCATAATTTCAACAATTCACTTGTATATACTTTTGTTGGCGCTCCATAATGCTAGCTTCTTTTGTAAGTTGTACGACCCAGACTTGTAGCACTTGCGCGGAGCGGTACAAACGTAGTAACGAGACGCACGATGGTCTGACGAGATGCTAGAGAAACTTGGCTTTGGCTTGTCCTGGCTCCATCAATGTAGCACCTTTCTCATAGGTGTGATGGAGCACATTTGCAACCGCTGCTGTAACAAAAATAAGTGCTTGGACTTGAACATGAATGATGCCACGCACCCAGTGATTCTAGATTGTCATTTTGTCTACTTCTTATGTCCTCAACATCAATTCGTTCCGTGAGGTGTCCTGAAAGAATTGTTTAATGGGTCGAACACATGTTTCCGCTGCTCACAGACAAGCTCCTCGTGTACTCAAACAAGGACAAATTTCAACGATCATGAGCGAAGGAGTTCACGAGATTATGGGCACCCTATGTCATATATTCCGAAAGTGATAAACGAGAGCAGGAAATAATTACACCAAAATATTAATTAAACTCATCGTCTCTTGGAGGGAGGTAGATCCATAAAGTCCTCTGCTTTCCTCTTCGCTCCAAAGCCAAAGGCCACCTTCGTCCGGTCTGACGGCACAGGAGTACCTGTTTGTGTCGGCGTATCTGCAGCTGACGATATACGAGAAAAGCCTGGCTTCATAACTGGGGGCGAGTTCGATCCACTAGGAGGCATAACAGATGAAAATCCAGATGGGGCAGGGCTTTGAGAATTGAGGTGGGACTGCAAATGCGGCGCCGGCAGCGTCATGAAACCAGTGGATTCAAGCAATGGAGCACCGGCCTTCCCTGAGTCCTTCTTTTTGCTCTTCGTCTTTTCGGTCTTGCCCTTTGACAGCGGCTGAGGGTCCAAGAACTCGGACGCTTGAGGGACAGCACTATACGTATTGCAATTATAGAGGCAATAAGGGGACAGACGCAGAATGAACGTACCCTCTGTTACCCACAGACAGTACGAAGTGAGCTTGGCCAGTTTTCTCCTGACGGATCTGGAAGGCACGGTTCATGCTAAGGGGGGTATCACCACTTGCCATAGCAGCTTGCTTCTTCTCCTCCGCAATTTTCTTCAGCCTCTTCTCCGTCTTCATCTTCCCGGATCCCTTGCCATGGAATTTGTGGGACAATGCTTTCCATGACTCTTTTGGGGTTAGCACACGGCCATACTCGTCGTAATAGACAATTTCCACGTCAGGCTTGTAGTCCTTGAATAGCTCCAGCTGTGCGCGAGCCTCTTGCTGTTCTCGGAGTCGATTCTCATATTCTCGAGTCGCTTGGTCTTTGTTACCACTCCGAGACTGTAAGCGATCCGTTTCCCGTTGGGTTTGTCGATGACGATATTCAGCGAGGAATCGATCCCTATGTAACTGAACAGACTCTCGCGAGGTCTGATCTACCGATGGCATCGCCAGTACACCCTGCTGCCGAAGAAGTGAAAGAGTGGCCGCCATACCAGAGCCAAACATCTTTTCCCCTGATGTCCCAACCTCGACGTCGTCGTTTACTGCGGCAGTTTTCGCCTCCGCTTCAGCGATGACTTCCATCATATCTTCGTACTCTTCTTCCTTAACAACCTCACCAGCTTCAATTTCGTCGAGTGCCTCGTCGCCTGCAGCCACTGGAAGGTCAGAGGGTGATATCTGTTTGGCAAGGGTGGGCTCTACTGATTCCTCTGCAGGCTCTGACTTCACTACAGTCGTGTTGTACGAGATAGCCCGAACGAATTCCGAGGTATCGTCGAATGTCAAACCATTGGCATCGCCATCCTCTGCGTCGTCCATCTGTAAAGTATCATCTGCTTGGCTCGATTGCTCTCGGTTACGTTCTTCTGCGACTAAAAACAGTCACTCTCAAGCGCTCAGAAGGAATCAGCCTAGCTTACCTTTACGAGCAATCTCTTCCGGAGATAACTTCTTGGGTTTGTGAATCTTCGCTCTTCGGGACCGAGCAAGTGCAGCTTGTAGCTCATCGTCATCGACAAAGTTGGCGTCTAACTCACGTGGCCTAGGCACAATCGGTTTCTCATCAACATCAATCTCCATAATATTCTCATCGCCATCAATGGGGGCGCGACGTGATGAACGTTTCTTTTTGGTCTAATAAACATGAATGTCAAGTTTTATCAATCAAAAGACCTGAATATCGCTTACTTTCGGCTTCTTGAAACCTATATCTCCTTCTTGCAGGTAATCACGAGTTTCCAAATTTTCTAGAAACCGGATATATCAACAAAAGGCAAGGGACAAAGCAAAGATAAAAACTGACTGGCGTAATCTATCGACAGTAAAGACTTGTTTACGCCTGCTAGTTCTTGTTTCGCCTGAACGCCACTAATCGTAGTAGACGTAACAGAATTGCCCAAACGGAAATCCTGAAAGATAGGCAAATAATCAATTGTGGTGGAGCGTTGTGGGTTAGACATACGTACAGTTTCCCTAGGACCTTCAATATCCTCGTCATATTTCGCCAAAATTGATCTTTTCATTCCAGCCTTGCCATCTCCGAATTCATCATCATCGTAACCGGTGTAATCCCGTCTTTTAATCTTCAGTTCATTATTTTTGCGAGTGCGTTCTTCTTCGGCCATCTCAACATTCTGAAGTTCATCCTCTAGATGGGTGGAATTAGGAACAGCAGCGTTAGAGTAAGGCTCGCAGCAGACGCACCTTCATTGTCAAGGATGCGGCTATCTTTCAATGTGAGAATACGGGCATCGCCATCTCCGAGGTCTTCAAAGTCGTGGCTGACCTTGAGACCAACCAAATCCTCTGCGGATAGACCATCAGGCAAGTCATTCTTTATGTTAGGGCCTGCACGCACTTTCCGTATATTCATCACCCTGAAAGGCTCTGTCCAAGTTCTCAAGCTCTTGCTGCCTTTTCTGCGCCAGCTCCTTGTCGCGCTTCTTGGCTTTTTTGATCCACTTCAGGGTATCTTCTGTATCGCCGTCGGGATCACCAAGTGTTGTACCCTTGAGGGAAGCATGGAGTTCTCGTCTGTTCCTCACCCTGTGATTGAAAGATGAGCAAAAATTGTTGGCCGAGGCCGAAGAGCCAGTATAAATGAATCGAAACTCACTTCGCTATCCGGTCAAATATTTGCCTGGAAAAGAGAGACGTCAATCAGAACAAGTCGTATACTCAGAAACGAACCATGTAAATACTTTGTTTCCTTCTCTTTCGCCTGTCGCTCGCGCTGTTTTGCATAATTATCTTCTGCTTGCTTCTCTTTGTCGTCGACTGGTGCAGAATCATCTGTGAGAGGCTTGAGACCGAGAGAGATACGAATCTTGTTCGTCTCCTCAAGACTGATACTTTCTTCCATTGACGTTGTGGATTAGAATGATGAATAATAAGAGAGTACTGGAGGAGCAGAGCACAGAGAACTCAGGCTGTATGTTGGCGACTTACGAGTGCGCTGCCTCATTAGTCATCTGTGGGTGGTTCCCAATTTGGTTAGCATATCTTGTTATTTTTTAGTCCTTAAAGGGATGCTCGTTAGTATTTATAAGGAGATATCAATTACATGCCTTGATTGCGTTTTGGACCGAATAAGTTCTAGCACTACTAATACTGCATAACGAGTACCAGTAAATATTGTTAGTTCCATTACAGTAGGCGTATGTATCCTCTGAGTCGACAAGTACACTGCATTTACTTACCTGCTTGAATTATTGTGCGAGATATTTTACTTACCGATTATGTAAAAATTGATCCATATCGGCCCATATGCGGGTATATGATTACTATGAAGGCCTCGAGGCAATTTGAAATGGCGTCAATACACACTAAGTACTCAGATCTTGCACACACAATCATGTACCAACTGTATGGTTTCGAAGTCGGGGTGTCAACATGCACATCTTTTCCTACTTAGCCGGACTACCAAGGCGCACATGAAGCGCGAGTTCTTTTTCTTTCTTCTCTGGCCCTCACCTTTTTTCAGGTCCCCATCTTCATGTCTACATCATCGGACTATCGTATCCCAGCTCTTGCTGCCATGTCTGCGATAGCATATGGCTTACTTAGCTGGTGGTCACGTAAAAAGAGAAACCCGGGAGGCCTTCCCCTTCCTCCAGGTCCCAAGCCACTCCCAATAGTGGGTAACGTGCTTGGTCTCAAGATTGATGAGCCTTGGGTCACATACACACACTGGGGTGCTACGTACGGTGAGACATTGGACGTGGTTCTGCAGTACACACAAAACTAATCCTCGCGATTGATTTCAAGGCGAATTGGTGTACTCTCGTCTGCTCAACCAGGAAATCATTTTGATCAATACTGAGAAAGTCGCCAGGGACCTATTGGAGAGGCGCTCCAACAACTACTCCGACAGACCTGGCATCCTGTGCCTGACGAATGACTTGTACGTGCAATTTCAACCTCGCATGCAATTGTCAGATTTACCGAGTCACGGCAGTGTTGGCTGGTCATTTAATTCTGTCATGATCAAGTATAATGATCGTTGGAGGCTCCACCGACGGCTGTTTCACCAAGCATTTCGTCCAGAAGCAGCTTTTACATATCAACCAATGCAGCTTCGCAAGGGACGAGAGTTGTTGAGCAACTTGCTTGAAGACCCAGTCAACTGGAGGGCGCATGTGCAGACGTAGGTGGATTGATACACTGTGTACTATTTTGATACTGATTTCGCAGATCAGGCACTCAGTCTCTATTATTATGTCCGTCGTTTACGGTTACGAACCTGGCCGAAGGGACGACCCCATCATTACCATTGTCGAGAGGGCTGTCGACTTAGCGGTGTCTTCTATCAAACCTGAGGTTGCTGCTTTCCTTGGCGCATTCCCATTTTGTGAGCTTCTTTACTCTTTTGTGCCTACTTGATGTCTCACAGACATGCAGTGCAGCACGTGCCATCCTGGTTCCCTGGAGCTTCGTTCAAGCGGACAGCTGTCTTATCCACGAAGTATGCCAAGGAGATGATTGAGGCGCCGTTTCAGTACGTCCAAGAGAATTTGGTAGGTTCTAGCATCTCTTACCACCAGTCATCCATCTCATCCGAGGTGAACTAGGCGTCAGGCTCGGCATCTCCATCTATGGTAGCTGACTCTCTGAGAAAAGCCGAAGATCAAAATGCGTCTGAGACGTATGTCAAGGCAATCAAAGAGAGCGCCGTGACTGCCTTCGCGGGTATGTTGATGCGATTTTATAATCTCAAGCTGATTCCTCACACCATTGTTTCCCTCTCAGCTGCCTCGGAGACAGTAAGCCATATCGCGCTTACAAAAATATTGCTAACAGTTTTTCTCTCAGACTTCATCAACTATGTTTATTTTCATCTTGACGATGCTACAAAACCCGGAAGTACAAGCGCGCGCACAAGCCGAAATCGACTCTGTGGTCGGTTCGGTCAGGCTGCCGAATTTCGAGGACAGAGCATCACTGCCCTATGTCGAGGCTGTTCTCCGCGAAGTTCTCCGGTGGCATCCCGCTGTACCATTAAGTATGTATCGTACGGACTATATGTTGTGAGTAACGGACTAAATATGAATGACACAGGCATCCCCCACGCTGCCACAAATGATGATGTCTATAACGGATACTTCATTCCGCAAGGTGCGACATATTTGAGAATTTGTAGCTTGTCGATTGACACACATCAGGGGCTACAATTATAACGAACACATGGTGAGCATTTGCCATTGATGAAGTTTTTTCCCGCTGATCATTATCAAAGGGCGATCACACACAACGAAGCCAAGTATCCCAACCCAGAAGAATTCAAACCCGAGCGTTTCTTTGGCGCTGATGGCAAGCTGAATGATGACACCATAAACGTTGCATTTGGTGCGGGTCGCAGAATTTGTCAGTCTCGCTGAGCTCTATTTGCCTCATCGTGGTAATGATTCTGATCGTGACATCATAAAGGCGTTGGGCGATATATCGCGGATGCATCCATCTGGTCTGCTATGGTCTCGATCCTTGCTATTTTTGATATCAAGAAATGCAAAGACGAGCAAGGCAACGAAATCAATGTAAATCCAAAGTTTACTGCGGGCATTACTTCGTAAGATTCTTCTTTGTGTGCATTTCTGATCCTAATACCTCCTCAGCTATCCATTGCCTTTCCCTTGTCTCTTCGTGCCTCGACAGAAAGGATTTGACACGGAAAAGCTCGATGCAATGTTCTAAGGTTCAGTTATCTCTACACCTGGTTAAAGCTGGTTCTAGTGTTGTAAACTGCTCTTTCTTTCTTGTATACCAGCTTTCCTACCCTCGATGTTTTTATGCTAACGATATCTGATGTCCACTCAAACTGTACTCACGAACATCCGCTCATGTTATATAGCTACTCTTGATATGTCTGGGAAATGATCATACAAACTTCACGTCACAATCAACTACAACTATACAGTACTAAGAAATGATAACTTCACCCTCACCAGTGGTGGCACGAACGATAGAATAAGGTATGTCAGGGCAAGACACGGTGTTTGGAACGATGCTCTTCTTCGCAGAAAATCCTACATGGCGGACAGAGACCCGTGGAACGGAGCTAGGGTGATTCCCGCCAATTTCAGCATCGGGCAGGTCGCAAGAACCGGAGATACACAGAGCCGAGACGGATCTTGTGTGCGTCGTGCAAGGAGAGGAAGATGTTCGTTCACCCACACTTGTAAAGAGACCGGACGGCGACCAGTCGGAAACGGATGAGATCGATGACAAAGAGGGTGTGGATGAAACGAGTTTCCGGAAGTTGCGTCCTCCACTCCCCGGAGTACGTGTGCCGTAGCTAGGACGTAGCGTGAACACCTCTCGGATAGCGGGGTCGTAGATCATAGTAGAGCTCTTGAACCTCAGTTTCTCCGGCGGCTGGATGTCACCGGAAGCATCAATGGCGGAGGAGTAATCCACGTTGACACGCGGGGAGCTAGTGTAGACCGAGAAGTCGAGTAGATCAGATGCAGATGCGACAGAAGGGACACCTTTGAAGTATGGAGCGAAGTATGTGCTGCCTCTGTCACCGAATGGAGAAGCGAACCGATTCTCTCCTGCACTCGGCGAGTAGGAGCAGTTCGGATGAGTAGGCGAGCGCAATTGTTTGCCTTGAGGAGAACTGGTCCATACTTTGAGGGAAGCAGATGACAGGGATGTTGATAGGTCTGCATCGCAGGGAAGCGAGTTCTTGCCGGGCTGTAGCTGCGTGCCCAAGATAGGTGGCCAAGAGCTGCGGAACACATATTCATCGGAATAATGCTTCGGGAATGCATAGGATGAGAGAGGAGAAAACGAAGGCATAGGTAATTCCGGGCGATCGAACAGGGGATGAGATAGTTGTGGAGATCCCCGAAGATTGACGACATTACAACGACCAAGCTCCGGGTCACTGAAATTTGTCGACGATGCCATCTCTCGGCCTTGGGTAGTCTTACATCTGGCTTCTTCAAGCTGCCGCAAGACGACATTCTTTGGCAGCACGAAAGGCTTCAACCCTTTCGGCTTCTGGGATGAAACAAGTTGAACGATAGTGAAGAAGCTCCGGCCCTCAGTTCCTGGTGTATTGGATTCCTGAGTCGCTTGCCTTCCACGGGTAAAGAGACCGAAGAACAAGTGGAACAGTCCTATAACGAATGACGAGAATTTGCGAAGAAAGAGGGCAAAGGTGTGCAGAATGGAAGACATTTTCGCGAGCGCTGACGAGTAAGGACAGTGGCGGACTTGTTCGCGAACGACTCGGCGGTCGGGTTGCAAAGGGTATAAGAGCAGTACTACCTACTGCTGCTGGCATATAAGCACTTGTGCAGCATAGCGGCTGACATAGCTTTATCATCACCTAAATTATTTATGGAATGGTCAGCCTCCCCATTTCGTGGGCGGGCGAGGTTGGCTGGTGACCGAGCGAACATTGCTTCCAGAATTCGAATCAGTTATTGTCGTCGGAAAAACAACAAAACTGGCCGCGGGAGGTTGGGAAGAAGGGATGTAGTAATGTGGTGTCATGCTATACAAAGCGCTTTTATAGCATTCCGATACTCTGAATTCCAAGGTCCTTGGTGACAATGCACCGGTCTTTCTCTCTCCCCTTCCCGCCCTCGAATGCCTTCATTAATGACTCTTGTCCCTCGTCAATCCTGTGAAAAGGGACAGATGAAGTTGGGTATTGGACAGTGAAAGACAACATCATTACCATTTTACAGGGTGAGCAGATTTCTCCAGTATGACTTTTACAGTCGTCCACGAAAACCGGACTATCGACGGAAAACCGAAAGTAGGGTCGAGTGAGTTCTTTACCCAAATTTGAGTCTTTGGATCTGTAACTGTGTCAAGCAAGAACGCAGAATTTCCTGCAACTCAATGACAAACCTGATGGATAGCCACTTCCGAATTCTCTGTTCCAGTTTTCATTCCGAGCGTTCCTTGCTGCATTTTCGTCTTCTTCAATTAGTTCTTCGAAGGTCCACCCATCGACGCATGCATCCCTTGTCACCTTTGCCGCCACACTGGCTGCTCCTACAATCTTGAATTTTGAGTCTGCTTTCGTTGTCACGGTGAAATTGATGCCCGGGAATTGTGAGGAAAGATACGCTTCATAAGTAGTTGTGTTTCCAAGTGCGTCCACGTATACCTAAGCAGAGGATGGTTTAGTATTCATTCGAAAACACAGCACGCATGTTAACCTCAGACAACTGGAGTCCACGCTGAAGAGCGTCGCGTATGAGCAATACGGTTGCATCTTGGGATTGCTTGTTAAGATTTGTTGGCGGGATCCTCAACATCCCAGCTGATACAGCTTGTGGGCTAGCCACCATGAGAAGTCTCACAAAAGATAGGACTTCGGATGTGTGTACCTGATGACTCGGACAGACCATCCGAGATTCTGGGGTTCAGAGTTAAGTACACCTAACAATTGGGCTCGCTTTTCCGGAGTGAGTGTTTTTGAGTCTAGTAGAAGATACGGCTCATGTCAGAATGTAGTTGAGCACTTGAGAGATGATGTTTACCAGCAAAGCCCAGCTGCTCTAAGTCGGTCTTCCAAGATACAGGGCAGTACGCAACACCGTAAACAAGCGGGCCAAGTACAGGCCCACGACCGGCTTCATCAACACCAAGGATATATGGTCCCGGTGCTGTAGGTGTTGAAGAATGATAAGTATACGAGTTTGTGAGTGGAGTCGACGGTCCAGGTGCTGAGGGAATAAGAGAAGCAGAAGTTCGGGGCATAATTTGCACGGTGCCTTGTATGTAACTCGACTTGAACGTATCTAGACCAATATGGTGCTACTTCCACGATGACAAGTCGAAGGATCAATGGAGGAAGACCGTGTTTACGCGTTCTTTGTACTTGTTGATCCTTATTTTGGAATGGCCAAAATAGGCGACACCGCTTTCATAGTTCACTGAAGTTGTCGCTGTGTTCAACGTTAACTTGAAAGTCCTCCGCTATCGTGGATGGACAATGGTTTCAAACCCGGTAGTGCTAAATTGGTGAGTGTAATATGTTCCAACGTGGTTTTAACTCAGGTATTGTAGGATACTGCAAGCCATAAGTTACACATTCTGGAATTTGATCCACTAAGCGATACATTTAGGTTATATTGTACATCGTGCTACCCAGTCCGTCGTATACATTCAACCTGCCACTATGGCTGATTCAAAATTCTCCGTGTTTCTCGAGGGAGCTTTTAGCTCGTTCATGTGCTACAAAAATAATGATCCAGGGCGTTGTATACTTCAAGGCTTGGAGATCGCACCTGCATGCTTGGCTTTTTCCTTTTCGAGTGCGTCCATTCCCTTGGTCTCTGCAATGCGGTCAACAAAGGCACCCGTCAGCCCCGCGCTACGAAGAGTTTTTGTCAGATTATCTCCAGACCATTCTGCGGATACTCACAGCAGTTCCACGGCCTTCGCGTGGTTTGCGGGTTTTCCGTTCTTCTGGATATGTTTCTCGTACGCTTTTGCAGCCTAGGATGTGATCGATAACGACATCATGCTCGACGTGCATGAAAGACAAACCTCGTATGACGCAGCGGCGGCAATGAGCTCATGGCTCAGTTTGGCGCTGTGTCCGCCAGTCACCTACAGATCGTCAAGATGACTAGTCGACGTAACACATTATTGCAGCTTACCTCCGAGTGTGCTTTAGACTCTTCAGAATCGTGCGTGAACCACATAATGTTTGTGTAATGTTTGTGTAATGGGGAAAACTGAATACAATGTAATATGGACCTGGTGTCTTTTATAACTGCAGGGAGCGGTGCAATGATGTCAGTGTGGGGTAGGTGCACGCTGCGCAGGGGTGCCCCTTTAACGGGTCACCCGCTGTCCCTCATTATTTCCCACAGCTGCTCCAGCACCAAGTACACCGGGCCCCACCACTTGTACCTATCCACTCTCCAATCCAATTCTCCGAGCTCTCCAACACCCTTACAGCAACCTACTGTACCCTAATGGTTCTAGCCCCTTCTTGATATCCAGCTTCGCTGTCTTTGGAGTGTTTTCTCCGTTACCTTCAAATACGACAATTTTTAGCACATTCCAGAATTAATCACTAGCGACACTGTCGAGTTTCTAGGAAACTCATGGTTCTGGGCTCCATCATGATGACGTCCAGCTTTACCAGTATTGGAATACACTGTCCCACTTCGTGAAATAAACATGTTTGTTGCCTTTCCTTTGTTGTGTGGACGAGTACCACACCGGGAACAAGATATTGTATCCCCCAAGCTGCAGGAGATCGTATTCTCACATCTTCTGGAACATCAATGACATCAACAGCACTTGTAATGTCTGGGTGGCCCCAGAAGTTTATTTTTTGTATGCTCTTAGCAGTTTCTTGACCATCTAGTTCATGCTCATAATGCTGTAGCTTATTAATAGATCCGATGGAGTCGGTCAATACTATTTCGTAGAAGGATAAACATAGCTACTATGGACGCCAACAAAACTGCGGGCATCTCCAGTGGAGTCCGTGCAATGCGTCATCGACATACGTGACGCTACGTATGAGTCGGAAACATTAATGAACCGACTCCCACATACGTAGTGTGAGTCTGAGTCTGGAGAGGATTTTGCAATCTATCGGGTTTAGCCTAGCACCCGTTCGGTTGTTCTCGTGAGTTCGGCACTAATATCATCAAGGGTGAGGGTGATCCACCACTCTAATTGACATTTTTTTAGGTATAAGGTAAATGAGTTGGACAGGTCACTATGATCCTGCCTAATTTTCAAAAGCTTTCACCTTGCTAATTGCAAATGCACACCTGGCAGCCTCTGCAACAGGCTGTCCCTCCATGTAGCTACCACTCACATTCGTCAGATTTTGTGGGTCCTGCATCAGAACCATCCGCATTGGGTTGGACTCGGTGTACTGCTCCCACACCGGAGACTTGTCCAGCTTGTAAGTATTCGGATTGCCAGCACGCACGAAGGAAAGCCAGTAAGCAATGAGTTCGGAAGCAAACGCGAGTTCGGTGGGCGTCTGTGGTGTAAATGTCGTGGAGCCATTGAAACTAGAATGCCATTTCTCAATGAGCCTGTGCTTTTAGTTAGATGGACTGGGTGTCGGAAACTCACCCGGTGTTAGTGCCATCAAACATCATCCAGTTCTCCGCAGCATGCGAGACAAGATCGCTACCACTCGTCGGGTTAGGTGTGTTGTACCGATAAGTCCAAGTATTGGAATATAGCGAAGATGGGCCGCCCATGGCCTGGCGCTGATGCGTACTGTTAGCACGACTCAAGAGTGGCTCGGCGGAGTGAGGCTCAAACTCACACCGCATCTCAATTCAGGTTCACCAGTGGCCACCTGGAGTTGCTGACTCAAAGAATCAAATTCATCTACTGGATATAGAAGCAGGAATTCCTGAATGTTAGCGTTTGTCAGTGACGGAAAAAATTCCTGAAGTGCCAGAGAGATGTTCATCCCGCCAGAAAGAGTCTCGTTGGAGGTTGCGCTATAGAATGGTGTTGTTAGCGGTAGTAAGGCACCAAAATAACTCAGATGCCAACATACCCAACTATAAGTGGAACATGAGCAAACTCATCGCGTTGAAACTTTAACGTAGGGTATCCAGTAATCAGCACGCCGTCCAAGACAGGGCGGAATACATTGTACAACCCGGAACTACCACCTATCAGCTGCGAAAACGAGTGCCTCAGGTAGAGTGGGCAAAACTCACAATTTTCCTTGAGCTGCGGCATCTTGTGACCGTGCAAGCGCGCTAACGCTTGCACCGCGGAGGCATGTCATTTGCTCTGCCACAGAGCCCGTTCCACACCCTGCATATGATGCGTAGAATTGAAAGAGGGGCTGTCCATGGGCATCAGATGTGGCGCTCATCTCGGTAGGGCGATTCACATACCCGCTGTTGCTCAGGAGTGGGAAGAGGCGACCTAAAGACGCTCTGCGCAATAGCGCCAGAAAAAAGCTGTTCGCCCTCGTTGGCAATCATGTGTAGCTCCACGGAGCTACCACCGGCGCTCTGACCGTTGATGGTCACTTTGGTCGGATCACCGCCGAATTTACTGATGTATGATTTGACCCATTTGAGTGCCTGGACCTGGTCCTTGAACCCCGCGTTAAAGTCGCCGTACGTACTGTTGGCGAATTCGGGGGTGGCTAGGAAGCCAAAAGAATCAAGACGGTAATAAACAGACACGATAATGACATTCGGACTTTGATAGACCCAGTTATCAAATGGCCAGTTGCGTGGGTTCCCAAAGATATAACCTGTCGCAATGAGATTAAGCAATTCGGTCCGGTAAATGTAATCCTTGAAAATTTACCTCCGCCATGGATGTAGAACAGCACAGGCACTACATAGATCCATTAGAGTGGTGAGAAACGTACAACAGGATGTCTATAGTAAAACGTACGGTTGTCGCCTTCTTGGGCACCGTAGGGTGAGTAGATGTTGACGTTTAGGCAGTCCTCTGATCCTGCTCCTCCTGCATCCCCAGCTGGGCCACAATGTCAGAGAAACCTATAGTTTAGGAAAGCAACCACAAATACCACCCGTTGTTCCTTGGATGCAAAAGTCAGGGTAGTAGGTCGCGTTGATCACTGCATCCCCGTTCAAGTTGGCCTCTTCACTCACACGCGTAGTGTTCAGAGGAACAGTTGCACGGAAGCGCAGATTACCTACAGGAGGTTCAGCATACGGTATCCCGAGGTACGCCACCGTATTTGAGTATGTCCGGTTGCCGAGATATGTCGCATACCCGACATCGACTGTAGGGCAAATGGACTCGGAATTCTGTGCAGGCTGTATACTGTTGAATAAGGTAGGGATCGATGTAAACACCATGCTGCGCATTCTTGAGCGCTGAGCGCTGGCCTCACACTGATCAGAAAAGAAAATATTGTTGTAATATGTGGGAAAGAATTTCGTGACCAAGTAAAAGCGCACGCAATGATTCAGCATAATCGTTCAGCAAGAACTTACCGGTCCACTGATCGGCAGCCCCTCCGCGGAATGGCCATTCCGCATAAGTAAAGTCACGAGTAGAAGTCGACTGACATATAGGCTGCATACAACACGTGCTGCATAATGCACGAAGGAGTGCTTCGATGGCAAATGGATCACAAGAAGTAAGGTGCAGTCACAGAACTCTTCGCGTAGGTAGGGCTATCATGATGATAGTATCAGCTGAACTAAGCCGGGAGGACATTGTCGGCATCTTCCGCCGGATAATAGCCCGAGACTCGAGTTCCTTATCCCTTGCCGTACTCGCCATGTCACCTGGGAAGCCAGCAAAAGCCATCAGAATCAAAGTTCCGCGTCACGGTGCCCAAAGGATAGGCGCAAAATTTTCTGCGCATGTTGAAGCGCTGGCTAGGAAAGAGAAAATTCGTGTGGCTACTCACCAGCCAAACTATGACTCAAATAATATAGCCCAGGCTATCGTGAGTACCATGCTGCACTGCCTGCACAACCACTTTAACATTGGGAGCGTTCTATTTAGGAGTCTGCATCGGAGTGGAACTCGTTGCTTATTACAGCCCGTGCTGAACGTGGACCACAATGGGACGTTGGAACTCAACAGTGCGTCGTACAGCCATGTCGTATTCAAAGGGAATTGAAAATTGTTCAGATTTCATGTAGACCAAGGGTCTGACCTATATTATAACTCGTCCCCACTGATGGAGTACCAGAAACAGCAACGTGAGGAGGAGAATGCTGCTCGAACTTCAATGCAGCCTCCCGACTTTCGTGCACACGATCCTTCTCGTATTACTCGAAATCACTCGACCTCATCAAATCATAACTACCCATATGCATCGCCGGGCATGTCTCAAGTGGCTCCACGTCATCCCAATCTTGGAGGTTACTCGAATGTCCCATTCAATGGCATTCCACCCAATCACTTCTACGGTCCTGGAGCGGATGGGGCCTCTCCTGCAAGGATGGGTATGAGAGACAGTATGGGTGCCAGCATGTCTCCAGATGTGAGGAGAAGGTCAGCAAGAGGCATGGCAGAGGATGGATTCATTCAACTACATGGACCATGATCGCAGATGACCATTAATTCCCGCGTATGTTATCCAGTGCTATGTATACCATCATTGTTTCTACTATATATTTTAGGAGAATTTGTCTATTACATTCCTTGGCGTGAATTGACTACCCGTGTATTATTCCATCCGGGCCATTTGCGTCGTCACAATTTCGCTTGCTCCGTCCTCCCAGTCTTCCCATGACACAGCCATAATTGCCGTGTCTCTCCCTGGTCCTGCCAGCATATCGTTTTTCCTAGGTGTCTTCCCGAGTACCTTCCCGGCAGGCAACACCCAAGCCCATCTCAAAGTTCCTTCGCGTTTGAGCCCCATGCGAGCAGCAAGTCTCAGGGATGGCTCATTATCCGGATGCGCATACCAGTGTACTCTTCTCAACCCCAAGCCAGATTCAGACTGGGATGTAGAGGGCATGGCAAAACAGTACTTGAGGAGTATTCCTACTGCATGCGTTGCGACATGTGTACGCTGAAATTCGGGCAGGATACACAGAACCCCAATCTCCACCGATAAGTTTGTCGGTGAATGATTGAGGAGTGCAATTGTTCCTGCGAGCTTCCCTCCCCACTCCGGATAGTCTGGGTCTGAGGATGTTTTGTCGATGATCGCGAAGAGGACACTATACGTGTTCTGGCGCACGAAGGAGTCCATGAACAGCAGATACGACTCTGGATCTTCTATGCCGGGAAAGGGATAGTAACGGTAGAAGTGCACAGGGTCTGAAATTGCTGCATGATATTTCGCAGCGTGAATGGATGGTACGAAAGGCGTTAGCTTCAGACGCGGGGACTCCAGCTGAGTGAAGTCGAGGG